TCCATTCGTGCTCTGTCCCTGTCCCCATGGCCGTGGATGGCTTGGTACAGTCTGCGGCTGGGTCATCCATCAGATCCCCCTCCCTACACTCTGTGTTCAGCATGGACGATAGCAATAGCCTGCCATCACCAAGGAAACAGCCTCCTCCCAAACCAAAGAGGGACCCCAACACACGACTCAGTGCTTCATACGAGGCTGTTAGTGCCTGCTTGTCAGCAGCTTCTAAGGAGACGGCTAATGAAGGTTAGGCATAAACAGGGAAACAGTCGCAGTTGTTGCTCTAGGTTATTGATTTATTCTTTTCTCTTTGATTCTTTTAAACACAGTCAAGTGCCTTTCAAAAGTTCTGCTTCCCTGAAATATTTCAGAGGCAGTAAATAAAATTAGTCAACTTGTTTTTGTTTCCAAATTAACAAATAATACCCCTGTGTCCTAATTGCCTAGCTTGTCAACAACCAAATCCTATTTGCAGAACTCCCTCTGGAGACAAATGATCCCTGTCAACTTGAGCTATTCTGCCCCACTGACCATTTTGTTTCACCTTTTAAACTGCATGTTAGAGTACCTTGCATCACTAAACCAGAATGCTCGAATATTGAATTACCCCAAGTTCAACATTAAACTTTCTCCTGCTTTTTCTATATGTTCACATGAATAATTTATGCATTCAGTGGCTCCAGTCTGTGCTATAACCGCTTACAGTGATTTTTTTTTTGCTTAGAAGGGAAGTGTTGTGAAAGTCCCAAGGTGTCTCAATGCTTTATAGTGCATATAGAATGGTTTTGAGTTCAGTTGTTTTCTTCTCCTTCACCCTTGGAAGGAATGAGTAGCAGATGAAGGGGAGGAATGCATTCTGCTTTTCCTTGATCAACCTGACAATGCTTGGTGTAAAGGATTCTCTAGGCTTATCAGGGAAGGTCCTTCAGGTTGGGTTTAAAACTGTGTATAACCATTTTCTATTCCTGTATATAACGGGTGGAAACCTTTGTTGCTCCCTCTTGCAACATTGTTATTGTTCTCATGAACAGTTAATTAGATGCCAGTCCATTATTCTTAACCTCTTTGCTCATTCAAGCTTTGTGTAAGGAGAGATGAACTGTGTCCAATATAGTTTTAAACTAGTATGGCTTGAGGAGCTCCGTAGTGGTTTCTGTGCCCATGCCTGCAAGAGCGTTACAAGTTGTTGATTAAAAAAAAAGCTCTAGCAGAGATTTTTGAAAGAATGACAATTTATATATATATGTATGTGTGGTCTTAACACTAATGCCTATGTACAGTCACAAAACAACTTCAGAATCCTTCTCAGATATATGAAACAATAGGTCCAGTTTCCCTGCTGTATACTAGTTTTCCAAGAATTATGTCAATTTCCCTAGTCTTTGTCCAAAACCAGCTCTGATTTACACCACTTAATTTTGATCTTACAAGACCAATCACCTACATGTCTAGGCTCCACTCTATACATGCCTGGAGGCTATGAAAAGATATCTTGTTTAGTTAACTTTATACTCAGTTGGGGAATTGCCCTTAGGCTATGGGATTCCCTAGCTTTATGAATTATTTCCATACCTGCAGTATAAAAGAAGAGATAAGCACAATACCGGCCTATAATTAGAGTTTTTTATATATTGCAAAAGGGAGATACTTCAGGTATTGGCAATAACATCTGTTAAAGTAGAAGCCTGCTGAAACTTCTAGTTAAAATCATGACCCACTCCCCTGGGGCAAAAGGAATAACAAGCATATATTTCCATGTGTTACAGACCTTGCAGTGAACATTCGGATTCAAAAGGTATCTCCTCAGGTGTTAGATCTTATCTTTTAGTGGCAGTAGGGATCACCAAACCAGATTATACGCCTAGGTAGCAAAGGCTTGTAGTTTGGAAGCTGAATGTTCTGCATTTCATTCCTTGAAATATTTATACTTTTGCCTGAATCCCTGTGTGGGCTTTGCAGGCTGAAAGTTCTAGATCTGTGTAATAAAAAAACAAAAGGCTTTGCTTTGTTGGTAACACAGATCTTTTTCACTTTCTTAGTACTGACCCGTCCAAGGCCACATAGTGATGACTATAGTACCATGAAAAAAATACCTCCTAGAAAACCAAAACGCAGTCCCAATACAAAGCTGAGTGGCTCTTATGAAGAAATACCTGGCCAAAAGCCTGGGGATGTAAAGCAGACAAGCACAGTAGCTAAACCAGGTGGCTATGACACTGTGACTGTACAGAGAGTGCTTTCTGCTGATGGACCACAACATGGTGTGTTAAATCTCTACATGTCACAAGAAGAGGAGGAAAATGAACCAGTCTATATCGAAATGGTAGGGAATGCAATGAAAAGCGGTTCTGCTGAAGCAGAAAGTCCAGAACAAGGAGAGTCTGTATATGAAGAAATGAAGTATTTTCTACCAGAAGAAGTAAGCAATGGCAATGGAGTAATTCCGGTAGCTTCTGGATCTCCTCCTCTGTTTTTTGAAAGTAAAAAAAATGTTAATGTTGAAGATGGAACTTTAGATGGAAACAGTCAAGCAGCTTTGATCTATAAAGACTCATGTGACATTCCAGCCCCTTTCCCTAACTTGCTCCCTCACAGGCCACCACTTCTTGTATTTCCTCCAACCCCTGTCACGTGTTCACCTGCTTCTGATGAATCACCTCTAACACCTCTAGAAGTCAAAAAGCTTCCTGTCTTGGAAACCAACCTAAAATACCCTGTGCAGTCAGAAGGCTCAAGTCCATTATCACCACAGTACTCTAAAAGCCAGAAAGGGGAGAATGACCGACCAGCATCTCCAGGCTTGGCCGTGTTCAATGTTACCAGCAAAGTGACTCCTCCTTCCACACCACCTCCTCCTCTCCCACCACCCCCTCCTCCTGTACCACCTCCTATTTCCTACCGAGCTTCCACACATTTTGCATTTCCTCCAGAGACTTGTGCTAGTTTTCTGATTAATACAGGGAAAACAGGTGCAAGCTCAGATCTGTCAAAAATTCCTCAGAGACCAAACCCTGCTCAGCTTGGATGCTCATCATCTCCATTCTCCAAACTGCCGTACTCCCCAAAGGTGGCAAGAGCAGATCACAGGAAATTGAACTCTAATTCATCATCTTCATTTCCGTATAGCCCTACAAACTCAAGGTCATTGACCAGTCCCCTTGATGAGTTAACTAGTTTGTTCAACTCAGGACGGAGTGTGCTACGAAAATCTGCAGCAGGACGTAAGATCAGGGAACCAGAAGGTAAGACAGATCTCTGTGCTTCTGTATAGCTTATTTGTTCTACACCAACACTTTCTTGTATCGGAAGCTGATAGAGTAGGTGAAGTTACAAAACAAAACCTTCATTTTTTTGTTTGTTTTTGTTGTGTTTTGTTTTTTTTAAGGGGAATCTCTTATAAGAAACATATGGAAAAAATTGCATATAAAAATGACTGGTATTCAGGTTTTCTCTAAGGTGTTAACTTTTCTTTTACCAAAATGTTTGTATGACACAAATTTAAATGGATTATTTTTTACATTCCAGCAGTCTCAGTAAAATAAATGCAGATGTTACATAACTGAAGAATTACTTTATGGTATCAGTCTATAGAAATAGTTTTAACTATGCTGCTATGTGTCTGGAACTTTAACTTGAAGACTTTCTTTTAAGGTTTCATTATTTCATATCCATAAAATTCTGGATTTGGTGATAGAGCCATTCTTATTGCCCTAAATAAAGCTGAGGTAGAGAGTAGTGCAGCAAAGTATATCTGTTTCCCTTTTCTATCCTTTTGTTCTTACCTTTCCTGTCATTTACATACACTGATGTACATACCCAGACATGATTTGGTATCCTGGTTTTCTGGCATCTGTAAAAAGAAGCGAAATCGCCATTTTGCTAAAAGTTTTTGAGACCAATAGTTGTGTCTGCTTTGGCAAAATTACTTGAAAACATTCAATGCCTATAAATATATGAAGAATGTCGGTTTGGTTTTGAGTTGGGGGTCTTGTTTTATTATATAGATAATACATTTTTATCTGCTGGGAGATAACTATTAAAGACAACTCTTTGGATGTGTCTTCTCAAGGCTCTTTCAGTGTACCTGGTGAGGGTATGTGAAAAGCTTACTACAACCAAGTTGGAGGATTTTTTGCAAATTCAATTTTCAACTAAATGCGAGCAAGATAGAGTTCAGCTTGGGTCTCCTGTGGGTTGAAGCAAGTGCATTAGCACAGGCTACCATATAAAAACTTTAAATTTACCTTTCTTGTGGAAAATGTTGTACTTCTAAATATTTCATCAAGGCAGGACTAAGTATGAAAGATCAAAGTTCAAGGAAGATATACGATGAAAAAACCTGAATGAATATTTTATGAGCTAGGAAGATACTGCATAATACTAAGTGCAGTTACATATGAATGGTTCAGTGATGAGCAGTTGGATTGAAAGTAACAAACCAATACATATGTATGTATGTGTTTTTACAATTTGCCTTTTTAAATGTACTTCATGTGTTCATTTCTAGGGTAACAGCTGCAAAACAAATATCTTTTACTTAACTTCTGATGCAAAGTAATGAGGTAGCAATCAGTAGAATGGACTTTTACATAAAACTAAAAGTTATCTATGTCTTAACCTCCTGATTTTTTATCACCTGTTCTCTAATGCATATTAAGTTCCTGGAAGACTCCTCAATTTCTTCTTTTTTGTCATTTGTAGTATTGTATTTATAAGGCATGATATGGTAAAAAAATCAATTAAAAAAATAGAAAATCATTAAAATTTAAGACATGGCCTATAGCAGCACTCTATAGTGTGCATTTTCCTTGATTTCCATCAATGATAACCTAACAACAACCTTAACTAAAAACAGAAACTAAAATTGTGGGCCATTTTTAAGTCAAGGAGAGTTACTATGGGAATCAATAAGTTTCTGTACGGCATTATCAGCCTTTGAGATAAAAGCCTCCATGCCGATAAAAGTGCAATACAGACAGATCCCCCGACATGCCTCCCTCTTGCCTGGAGTAGGAATTTCAAGGCCTGAGAACACTGATGCCCTTTTGGCTCCTGACCACTCCATGGGAAATGATCATCCAGAATTTCAACAGAACAGATCTGTGGTTTTCTGATGGACATACTGTGAACTGAACTGAAAGCACTCTTCTTTCACACAAGCAACAACAAAAAAATAATCAAATGCCAAAAATTTTTATTGCCTGGTGGCCTAGCCTTGCCTTTTTTTTTTTTACAACAGAAGTGTCTACTGGTTCAAGCAATGATCAAGATCATGTAGTATGCAATTTCTTACAAAATAACTTGCATGTAATAGAAGTTTTCCTCTCTGTAGAGATTATGGTTTAAATAAGCAAAACTGAAAACTCTAACAGGTGAGAACTGAGATAAAGTGATATCTCCAAGGTTGAAAAGAGTTGCCATTGAAATCGCAGCTGTATTGTTAGGTAGGGATTTCCTTTTACTCCGTATAAAATGAGATTTGAGTACAAAAAACACACAGACTTCTATTCTATTCTATTTGCAAAACAAATAGAAACAGAATGGTCACATACAGAGGCCCTACTTAGATATTCCTAGAGAGACCTTAAGTTTGCAACTAGACATCATGTAACCGAATTCAATGCCTCAATCACAAATCCACACTCTCTAGTAGAATATAAAAATATTTTTAACAATTCAACATGTAAGATACTTTTTATGTAAGGAAGGGACAATCACATGTTTAAACATTTCATATTAACTATTTGTGAAGCAATGACATAATTTTCTTCAGCATGGATGAATGATACTCAGCTTCTTAGTTCATAGTGTTATTTCTCTTGATTGCTACAGTTGATATTAAGTTATTCCATACGAAGGGGAATTGTTTCAGCTTCAGAAAAAAAAAAAAAAAGATGGAATAATTCCTAGCCCATCATCATAGATTGGCAGAGTGAGAATTATTGTGGATTTAAATTTTTAAAAAAAAAAAAAAAAAGATGGAATAATTCCTAGCCCATCATCATAGATTGGCAGAGTGAGAATTATTGTGGATTTAAATTTTTAAAAAAAAAAAAAAAAAGATGGAATAATTCCTAGCCCATCATCATAGATTGGCAGAGTGAGAATTATTGTGGATTTAAATTTTTAAAAAAAAAAAAAAAAAGATGGAATAATTCCTAGCCCATCATCATAGATTGGCAGAGTGAGAATTATTGTGGATTTAAATTTTTAAAAAAAAAAAAAAAAAAAAAGAGCAAAGGAAATATGATTTTTCCCTCAACCTGCATGAATTTCCTTACTATCAGGTAATAAAGATGGAAATTTGATGCCTTCTCTCCTTCCTGCTTGACTTTTCTGTCTGAGCAAAAGTGAATGCAAGCTTTCAACCTCAAATTTCAGGCCTAAGAAATAAAATTAGGATTATCTTCCCTTTATGTAGATCATCAGTGTTCAGGCTTCCAAGCTTTGTGGATTATTTTTAGTGTTTCTATACAAGTAGCTCTGTATGTGTGAGTCTGTACATGCTTCAGTGACCTTTTCCTTTCCAAAACAGTTTTGTAACTTACATAGTAAAAACAGGAAAGGCATAAAAACATCAGCTTGTCAATAAGATATTGATACTGTTCAAATGTTTACCCTAATGTCTTTGGCATCCATTAAGAATATATAATTCCTTCTTTACCTACTTCCAAATTGAGGTATGTTTAAGGTAAGCAGCTTCACACGCCAATTAATTATTCCACAGTCTCCAGCTTAAACACTGGAAGTCACAGGAAGATAGTTACTACTGATGAATCATACAGATATTTAGACCTCCCTAGTTGGGACAAAAGCTTGCCAAATATTCTTTGTTGAAGTTGGCTCAAACTTGGAAAACAGCAGGATTTAATGTGTATGTGTGAGGAGTACTGTCCTGTCCAAGGCAGGTATCCCTTTGATAGCTAGCAAATAATTTCTCTTTATCAGCAGACTAGAGTAAGCTATTGTGCAGCTAACATATCAACAGTGGATTGCAAATTAAATCCCTGCTGGATTTTCTGAGATGAAATCCCAGTCTCTTATCCTCTAAGCCACTTGGCTTTACCTCCTAAGCAACTTAATAAAGGTAATATTAATATCTGCATCTCATTATTCCTACATTCTATTGATACAATGTAATAATTACAGTTTCTTTGTGGTAAAAGCTAATGACTTACAAGACCTGAGTAACAGAGAAAGCTGTGTTGTCACCTTTTATCTTCTTTTGCATGTGAATGCTGGAGGAATGATTACATGAAGTATTGGACTTCTAGAACATCGTTCAAGTAAAATTCCCAAAGCATTAAAACTTTAATGAATTATGCTTCACAGTACTTCTCAGAAAGAGATTAATATCTGTTTATATAATTGCCTTAATTACCAGGGAGTGAGAGTGACTTTCTGTGACTAATTTTCAGATTAGATATCTAAACACAGGAGAGTCATCACTCTCTGATTCACTGTGGGCTACTTGCAGCTCTCAATCTGAATCTCTCGAAGTAGGTGCAGAAAAGTGGGAGAAAGCCAAAGCACTGCTAGTAAGAGTAGCATATAATACCCTCCATTTCTGTTTGCAGAATGGCTATAAACTTTTTGACATCCTGAAAGAAAGCATCTTAAATTGTAGTCTTCTCCTCATTTATAAGTCCGCCCTTATCTGGGTAATTTCTTATGAGATCTAGGATAAACACAACATACCAAGAAAAATTTTCCATTTCAGAATCTTTGAAAAATAGAAGATTTTAAGTGATGAAGAGTTTTTGGGGTTTCTATTATGATTATTTCTTTTCACTATACCATTTTTCTTCCTGGTTGGTTTCACTGTTTGCTGTTACAGGCTAAAATAATGGAATATATAATTTGCTTTGTTTTTCTGTTCTGACATGGAAAAGAGGCTTTGTGTGTGATTGCCATAAACAATTTTAACATGAAGATTATTTGAAGATTAAATCAAGTTTAATTTATATTTCAGGTGAAAAAAAACCAAAACTAAGGAAGTTTTCATAAACCTGTATTACATTTATTTTGCATTTTAAATGCTTTTATTGAAAATAATATCAAATCTTTAGCACTCCTTCACACAATCTAAATAGAGGTTGGAGGAGGCTATGCAGCCCCAGGATCACACAGGAAGTATCACTACATTTTTTTACATGATCCTATACTCTAAGTACCTGCAGCTGTCAGAAAAGGATCCTGGAGTAGACAACCCCCTTGTGTGACCCAGTCCAGGCTCTCTCGT